GACTTTTTTTTTAGTTTAGAAACAATTGTGCCCATATTTATTGTGAGGTCCAGTGCTAATTGTTTATTGAATATTTTCTACTTGTGCACGCACACACACCCACCCCCACCACACACATATATATGCTTATATTGTGCCCTAATTTTTTGCTCCTCCTTCAGGACTTTCAAGAATTTTAAAGATTTAGCCGATGATTATGAAAGTGGGGAATTGCACCCTGGGGATCTCAAACCTGCTCTAGCCAAAGCATTGAACCGGATTCTACAGGTCTTGTATAATATCCATGCCCTGTATATGATGATGTGAAAAGTTACTGCTAGATTAATTATTTACTCGTTTTACATAATGACCACACTCATATGAGATGAAATGAGGACATTTACGGTGCATATATGTTGGGTTACCTTATAAAATTGCCCGATCTTCTCCCGTGTTATATTGTCAAAAGCATAGCGTTTATTCATACATTAGTTTCTAATTATTATTCTGATCTACAAATGCTTGTCTATTTACTTGGGCTTGTGTATGTTATGCAGCCGGTTCGTGACCATTTTAACAGCGATCCCAAAGCTAAGGACCTGGTGAAAAGGGTGAAGGTATGTACGTTCGACTTATGTCTTCTGAAGTGGATGGAATATAAAAATACAAAAAAACTGGATATTCGTTCTCCATTACAGTTATTTCTGCAAAAAACTGTATAATTGTTGCATTGATATTGAAGTTCTACTTCCTTAACTAATATATTATTGTATGTTCTTTTTGTTTCATCAATGCAGAGTTTCAAGGTAACGAGGTGATGCAGGAGAAAACTGAACGTTTGCGTGATTAATGCTCCCGATATGGATTAGCGTCAAAAGCATTCTCTCCAACATACATTTTACTCTGTCTGAAACAAGAAATCTCATTTTCTAATTTTGATAGTATTAACTTATGATGAAGCAAAGCTGGTTCTCTTGTCTGTTGCTATTCAGCTCTATATATGAACTTGATACGTAGGAATAAGAAGCACTATAAATTTATATATATATTTAAGTTCGAAAAACTCTACATTTATATATGGAGGTATTGAAGGATGTTTCGAAAAGACAGTGAGATTTTCATTTTTACATAGGTTGATAGAAGTAGTAAATAAGAAGCTCTAATCTTCATTTTTTTCCTATAAATCAGATCTTGAAAATCAATTTATTTTACTATCACTCAAAGAGTAAACATGGATAAGGGTAGTAAATAACAATTGTGGAGTTGTTTTCAATGTGCTTATAGTTACTGTTCAAGAATTATGCATCATCTCATCACAATACATAGCTTTATATCTTTAAGGGAGCAAAGAAAACAACCCACACTGATAAAAGATGAACTTTCATGTTAATTAAAATTTTTGCAATTATGGTCCAATTTAACTTCTGTTCAAACTCAACTCAAGCTCTATCCTGTGAGCAATCCTCCCTACCAAACAACAGCTTCTGATGTCCCACATCGAAAACCAACCTCACGTTCTGCTGTTGGTACGCGCCTAAAACCGTCTCTTTATTCCACTCTCACCGCCAGGCAAATCCGATCCTCCGCCACTCTGAACACGTTCTCCGGCTGCACCTCCAAATCCCCCCCTTGGAAATGGTACGTCATGCTCGGGTAGCTTTTGAATCCTCTCGGGGGACGATAGCAAAGCTCATCCCCTAGAAATCCATCTACACTTCCCCTTATCCTACTCATTTTAAACCTCTCAAAATATTGCATTAGCACCGTTAAAAATCTTTTCGTAAACGCGTATTTCGACTAGGCTGTGGCTACAACGAGCATCCAACATTCAGCCTCTCGGAAATGTGCCATTCGGTAGATTTAAACGCTTACTATTAATGCTTATGTCCACTAATCCCACTCTGTATTTGTAGTCATTGTTGTTCAAGAAGCTCGTTGACCTTAAGTTTCGAACCATGACCTCAAGAATGTTGTCTTAACGGGGGTTAGTATATGCGGCAAGCAACACGAGAATCTCCCGATAGACGAGCTGCTCATTTGTCTGAATATAGACAATGGGGATTGGCTCATGCCAATGATCCCGGTTATCGATCTCTTAAAATTCCCTCTTTGGTTGTTTGCGCAACCGTATCTTACGATTTTCATGCCCCCTCGAAACTTTCTGTCTCGGGATGGAAAGCCGAAGCTTTCCATCGAGACCGTGCCAGAGGCCGATTCGCCCGAGCCATAGAGTACTTTAAAGAGAAAACTCCCATTTTTCGATTTTTCGAAGTATTTTGCCGAAGAGTGGTTCGGAGGGAGTTTGAGGTAGGTTTTGGATTTTTTCGGGTCAAAAAGCGAGAAGTCTTGTTTGAAGCAATTGTGCATGGAGTGCATTGTGTCCAGGCCAGGTCGCTGCCCGGGTCGAATATGAAGGATTTGGGGATTGGGGGAGCGCCGATTGTGGCCTCGACCATGAAAATCGAAGCCGTTTGAGTGATTCTCGGGCGGATTGCATTCGGGAAATAGTTGCCAAAAGTTGAGGTTTCAGAGGAGACGTCCGAGTCTCGTCGGGTTAGTTTTAGGGTGAAGCCGGTGGATTTCGAGTCAAGAGGGATGGAATAATTGAGGAGTGATAAGTGGAGTAGAATGTGAAGGAAGAAGAGGCATTTTTGGCTGGCCATGGTTTTTTTTTGGAGTATTTTATCTTTTTTTCATATGTTATGTTATAATCTGATGTATATACTAACTTGTTATGTTAGTTTTTGTTAGATATGAACATTACTTGTGTTGTTTGTATCTTCAAATCTGTAAAATTGAACAAGAAATCTGATATAAAGTGCAGAATAGAAAGGTAGATTATTAACAAAGGATAATCAGAAAATTTGAAGGAATCTTATTAAAGATCAAAAGGGAATTCTGTGAGACATGAACACGAGAGAACGAGAGGAAAATACAGAAAAGGGAAAACGGAAAAAGTGAATAATGAAACCCTAATGCACCCTATTTATACTAAACCTAGTTTCTACTAAAGATGCTATTTACAAGACTTAGCGTGTTTTATGAAAAGGTTACAAATGTAAAATATAATCTAATATAGATAGATACTGATTATAGTGAAAACCAATTTTTTGTTTAGAGTTTAGACACGTAATTGTGAATTGTAATCGAGTTTCTAGCTTCCATGGTGAAGAAAAACCATTATATTTTTTTGGTTTCTAATTCATTTCATTTCAATTTTATAGTTCGGGCAATTGCATTTAGTTGAAGCACATCTCATAGATCCTTTGGGATAACACTAAAATCTATTGCTGTTTGAGAACATACTAAACAAACCCCGATTCATAACAACTTCCGTTGTAGTCTAGGTGGTTAGGATACTCGGCTCTCACCCGAGAGACCCGGGTTCAAGTCCCGGCAACGGAACTCTTTTTGTACTTTTATGTTTTTTTTTTCGTTCAATAATATCTGTTCATGGAATGCACCAAACTATATATCTAACCAAGTTTATGTAAATTATGTTCATGAAAATGGCTTCATTTATTACTTACTGCATAACATATTATTACCAAATGGTACACAATAACCAACTTTAAGCCATTTTCTGTAGCCAGATGTTATGCATAAGATAAGCCCACCACATTACTGATTACTCTGTATTTATATAAACTTGACAACAAAAGATTCAAAACATGCCAGATTCCTACATTTTTCCCGAGTCTTTCGAACAGTCCTCGGGCGCAAACGAGAGCCTATCGGCCTTCAGATCGTAAAGAACCCTCACGTCCTGCTGCTGATACGCCCCCAAAATCGTCACATCTGCCGACTTTATCACCGCCATGCAAAAGAATCTCCGAAAGAACACGAAAAGATTCCTCCCATTCACCCGATAATCCGCCCCTTCGAAATGTAAACTCATGTTCGGCAGCAGCCTCTTGTCAAAACTTTTTCCGTGCGCGTAGCACACAAACCCGCCACCTGGCAGCGCACGTTTCCCCAAAACCTTCCTCACATTCTTTATTTTCGAAAAATGCCCGTCAATCGCTTTTCTCACAGCCGAATGAGCTTTCGTAGGTAGCAAGCTGACCGACGAGCCCGAGTCGACTACACACCCCTCGGGAAAAGTGCTTTCCCCGAGACCCAACTTTTGCTCGTTTATGCTGATGTCGCTTAGTTTCAGTCGGTAATGTCTTTCGTCAGTCGAGATTTTCAAGAACGGCGTGCTCTGAATGTTCGGTTCTCGTACGTTGGCCTCGTCACCGAATTTCAATCTCGACTGATGATTGTTCTTGCTCTGCAGACAGTACGAAAACCGATCCTTGATCTGGCTGCTGAGCTGGCGCGCGAACGAGACGGGCTGCCGATCAAGCCCGAATATCCCGGTAATGGTCTTCGTTTTGCCAAACGGGCCCTTGTTGATTATCCCACACCCAAAAACGAGTCGGGTGGTGATGTTCCCGCCGAAATAGAAGTTCTCGGACGAGGCGATTCCGGTCGACATTTGTCCGCTGTAGTACTTTACGTAGTATACGCATCCTTGATTCGTGCACGAGAAGATATTGCCCGGTTTTTCGTCGTTTTTGGTCAACATTTTGTATGACTTTGAGCTTTTCGTGTCGAATAAAGGCTCTTTCTGCTTGAAGCACCGAATGCACGGCTTGCATTGGGTCCACGTGAGCCCGCTGCCCGTGTCGAAAATCAAGGTTCGAGTGGTGAGTGGTGTGCCGAGGGCTAGCTCGACTGTGAATATTGTTTCGCGGTAGGTTAGCGGGAGGTGAAAGGATTTGTTTTCGAGGAGTTTTTTCGTGGTGTTGAGGTTCGTTTGGCTCCGTTTTCGAAAGTGTGAAGCGCGGGTTTTGGAGATTTCGGCGTTTTTTACGAAGCGTTGGAAATCGGAGAGGTTGGGAGTGTAAAGAGGGGATTGTGGGAAGTCTCTGTGGGTGAGGGTTAAGGTGAAGCCATTTGAGATTTGGGGAGTGTATGAAAGGATAAAGATATAGAGTGATAGGAGATTGAGAAAAATGGTTAAATTTTGAGCCATTTTTTTGAAGGTTTAGAGTGCAACCAGAGAATTCAGACAACTATGGAACATTTATATACAAAGATTTGATTGTTTGCTGTTTGTGAGAGGATAATATGTTTAGTTATTAAAATATGCCTCTGATGTTTTTGGTTCTTTTTCTTTTTGGTGTAATTAATTATGTGATGTTCACTCTGTCTTCATCTCTTTCTGGTATTCAACAACATCAATATTTTTGAGGGGGAAATTAATGGAAAATGCCTTTTTCAAATGATGAATTTGAAAGCAATGTTTGGTAAATGCAACAGGTGGTGGTGATAGCTTTCATTCAACAGATTATTGCATAGTAAATTCAAAGTCAAATTAGGGGTGTAATCTAGTCGAACAGATCCGAGCGTGGCTTTATCTGTCGAAAAGTTGACGTTTGTTTTGTTTTGTTCGAACTCAATGTACATTTTCCTGCTCGTTTACAATTTTCCTATTTTCGACCCTTAACGAGCTAGCTCGGCTCGACAAAACTTTTAACTCAGCTTGTCAAAAGATGATAATTATATATCATTTGCATACCTAATGCTGAATACATTTTTCCCAGAAGCTCAGCTCTATAAATATAACATGCATCAAACCAATATATAAACATCAGAATGCAACAGTTTGCAAATCACACATACATCAAACTCAAGAAAGAAAAAATAATATAACAACAGAAGTTGACATTCAAAAATCAAACATCAAATATTGTTATCACTCACACAAAACACATCTTTTCAATATGGAGTATTTGAGTTTATTCATTTCGGGCCTTTCTTTTTCCACGGCATTCTAATCCCGGGCCCTTTCCTCCTCTCACCAGAAAAACCATAATCTCCATCTTCATCGTCACCCAATCCAGGTGACCCCATGTAACCACCATAACCACCAACTTGGCCCAATGGGCCCATGTAGGCCTTATCCATTGACCCACACCTCTCCGGCAACCGTCCGCCGGCCAGAACTGCCGCCGCTTCATCTGCCGCTTTCCTCCACTGCTCGGAAAGTACCCTCAGCCTTCTCATCTCGCTTTCCATCTCTTCCTTCACCTTTTCAACCGATTCTAACTTTTCACTTACCTGAATACCTTCTTTTTTACTCCTTTCAAGCTCTTGCTCCATATTAGTCAACCTCAGAGTCAACCCGTCGATTTCAGCTCGGGCGGTTGACATTTCTAGCGACTTGTTATCGAGCTGGCTCTTTAAGCTCTCGTTCTCTACACGAAAAGCTTCCAACTCCTTGTCCTTCTCGTCTAATTCGGCCTTCAACTTACTCACTCCATCATCTTTCGATGTGATCAGCTCTTCGAGCAACGGTTTTTCGGACTCGGTGATGGACTTAGAGTTGAATTCATCTTCGCCAGCTGGCGATTCGGGCTCGATGGCTAATATCTCGACTGGAACTTCGAAAACATCTGTTTCTTCCTGATGAACAACATTATTGACCGATGTTTCTTGAGTAATAGTACTCAAGCTGTCTCCTTTTTTCACTGCTTCGGGCTCGATTTGTTTCGGTTTATCATCAAGTTGGTCTTTTGCGGGTTTTACTGTCTCGGGCTCGGTTTGTTTCGGTTTATTGTCAAATTGGTCTTGTGCAGCTTTCTTGATGGGCTTTTTCGAGACTAACTGGTCTTTTAGGCTCTTGAGCTCCTCCTGAGCTAGGCCTAGCTGGGACTCAAGATTAGCTATTCGGGTCCCGAGCTTCTTCTGATTGGACGGTTCGGATTGAGAAGGCTTGGCCGATCGACCATCGATCGGTTTTTGGTTCTTTTCTGTCCGGGGTCGAGGGTGCGGCTGATCGGAATCAGAGCTCGACACGCGAGCATTGGGAAGGCCTCGAGGAGACTGCCGTTGGGCTGTTTCGGTTAGCCTGTGGTTTGGATACATGAGATTATTCCAATAAATTGGAAAAAAAAAATAATAAATAAATTGATGATGATGATGATTATAGCAACTGTTGGTCCAAAAGAAAAATTAGATAATAGTACCTTGATCTTGGCATTTTCTACTCTTGCAAGGTGAATTAATGATTTTTTATAGCAACAAGAGGTGAAAAAAGATAGCAAATCCTAGCTGCAAAAAACAGTTGTGAGGAAAATGTGTTAGAACTTAGAATACATAACAACAAAAGATTTAAGTGAGAGAGTGTGATATAAAAAATCATGTATATTGTTTGCTATGTGAATCAAGCAGAGCAATTTTCCCTCTTAACTCTTGCAAATTTTCTAGTATATCAAATCAAACATACACACTGTACTAAAGGATATGAAAAGAAACAAATCACATTTCAGTATTTGCAATTTTCAACTTTCAAATTTCAAAGCCAACTTCATTTTAATCAGAAACTAATAAACATGAAAGATAGTCTTTTTCCACTTCCACCAAATAACCCATCTGATAAAGCTTCTCTTGTGCAAACAATACCAACTTTTAGCCATCAACCAAAGGGTAAATTCAATCCTAAAGGTGTGTACAGTGCACAAACCAGGATTCTCACTGATAAATCACATCACAAACTAAAATCAAACCGCTGCAAATGAAAATGGGATGCTAAAATCATGTTGCAAATTGCAAATATTTACCATTAGAATCTGACTAAACCAAGACTCGCGATACTCTCATATATCATCATTTTTCTCATTCAAATGGCAAAATCTGAAAAGCAAAATATAAAAAGCCCTGATTTTTAAGTCATCCGCTACTGTAAAGTTTAAATCTTTGAAGCCATTAACAAGTCCCACTTTCATTTTCTCATCAAATGGTAAAAACTCAAAAGCAAAATATAGCCATTCCCCACTGTATAGATTCAATCTTTGAAGCCATTAACCACTCCCATTCAAAATTTCAAACTTTTGAAATGGTCATTTGGCCTAATGGAAACTGGGTAAAGACAAAAAAATAAAAAAAAATAAAAGATGACAAAAACTCAAAACTTCCCAAAAAGCAAAACAGAGAGCAACAAAGATTTGATAAAGTGAAGGAAAACAAGAATCTTCTTACAAAATTTCAAAATTTCCTTCTTTTTCTTCTTCTTGCATCCAGTTAGGCGCTTAACATACGAGCACTCAGCTATGATTTAGAGCAGCAACAACAATGGCTAGCAGCATCAAGAGAGAAGACATAAAAGAAACAAAAGGAAGAAAGGGGTCATTAAATTTGAAACAGGTGAGGAGCATTAAAAAGAAGGAGCCTTTTACAGTGCCCTGTGTGTTTATGCGTGTATGTACGTACACATTTGACAGCGCTTGTTGGGATATGCTTTTACAGAGAGAGAAAGAGAGAGAGAGGGAAAGTGTGTGTTTTGGTTAGAACGATTTGAAAGTGTGTGTTTGGAAAAAAAAAAAGGATTTGAAAGTTTAAACTGAAAAAGTGCTTCGAGTAATAAAAATGTAATAAATCAGCCCTCCANTTTACTGTTAAATCGATACATACTCATTCAGGTATGTATAAATTTTGTGTAATGTAATTTAATGATAAAAAACCTGATTAGATGCAACAGCCGTCCACCGAATATTCGAACTTGCCGCATTCCACGTTTTTCGTTTTTCTGCTCAAGCTATGTTTAGTAAAATTAGCTCATAGTTTATAAGTGATTTTTTGAATTTATATCTTATACCTTATCATTTATAGCTGAAAAACCAACTTATATGATAAAAATATTTAGTAAAATTATCTGATAACTTATCTGAAATAAAAATTTCAACGAACTTATTTAAAAAACTACTCAAATAAGCTTATGAGATAAACTCAATTTATTTTAGAAAAATTCTGTCCTACCAAATCAAGCTTATTTAAATATAAAAAACTTATAAGCTAATTAAATAAGTTATAAGCTAACTTATATCTTACCAAACACAATCTTAAAAGTAATGTGGGTAAGTATGTACCAAAAAAAAAATCGATATACACTCATGTAACTATGTGTAAGTGTGCGTGATTTAACGATAAAAATCGAAATCGAGTGAGGCTCAATCACTGGTAGCGTCGAATTTACCTTCATTCGACATATCTACCTAAAAGGTGATGTGGGCTCGCAATTTTGTTAATATCGATCCCAAGAAAATAAATTTAGTTTGAATGACGAATTAAATTGGTAAAAATGATTGAATATTTGGTTAATCGGTTTATGTCATATTAAAAATAATCTGTTTGAAATTCAGAAGTGAATGAACCACCAATTCATATACAATGTATGTGAAACATTTTATATGCCAATGAATGACATAATGTCTACTTCCATTGCATTTTATAATACCAATATCCTTACATTTTAGCTCGTGCGTGTTCCATATTAATTAGTATACAAATTAAATCACAACTTATCTATGCAAATATGTTGTGTATCACATATATATAATATTGTATCCCTTTGTTATATATATATATATATATATATATATATGTATATTCATTTCACATTAGTATGTGTGTTGAAGAATATTATGCACATCAGTTTTCCATTAGAATTATCATAAAATTAAGAGTAAGTAATGACCCAAAGCTTCGTGCCAATAATTTTCCCTCTTAGCCTCCTCTTGATCAGATTTCTCGTTTGAAGTTAGTGATAAACAAAACGAGTCGCTTTTGAGTTCATTTTGATTCGTTAAAATTCAAGCTACTTTAAGAATCATTTAGTTAAGACTTGAAAAATAAAAGTTTTACATAATGTTCTAAACTTTTATTTATCTTGGCTCGTCAAGGATTGGACTCGACTCGACTCGACTAAAGCTCTCATTTAGTTCTAATTTTGAGATGTAACATTTTAAAAGAATGTCAAAAGCAAAACACAAAACCTTGTACAGAAAGTTTGATCAACTCCTCAAATTTCATTAGCAAAATCATTACATTTTAGCGTTACGTAATGCAATAATTCATCTCCAGCAGACTGCTTTATATCAACGGAGTTGAATTATTCAACCATTAATTATTTGTACGTTGTGGAATAATTATACCGGTCGGTTCATTTTTAGTGATGTAAATTGTGTTTTTAAATGTTAAAAACATTTGATCCATGATTAATCCTTGGGCTCCTCATATAATTCATATAAGCTCAAAAAAGCAGATGAGCTTTATGTTAGATTTAAAAACGACAGAGCATGTGAGCCTTAAATGTCGTTTCAACCACTCCACTTTATCATTCGATGCCCCGTACCCTCATTCACCGTCCACTTGGATTGGATATCTAATAAACCTTATGTAATAATTAAATTGATAATTGAGAAAAAAAAAAAATCTAATAATAGATTGTAAGGGGTATGTTATTCGGCATATTCATCTAATAACAATGGTGATAATAATAATGACTAGTTAGCTAGCAATTGGTTTAGTATTATGTAGTTCTATAATTTCTCACGGTTGGAATATACTCCTTATTATGCAGATGCAGAGTTTTTCGAGTCTAACTTTCAACTTTTGGTGTTTTAAGTTTTTCAAGTAAGTTTTAAGTTTTGGCGTTTTGTAATCTTCTGTCGAATTTCTGTGTTTTTTCTAATCTTATGCGTTAAATTATGGTGTTTTGAAGTATTCAATATACCATAAATTCTATGGAGTCTTCTACAACTTTATATACTGATATATGTCCAATGTGTATGTATTACAAGACACATGTCAATTTTCCATTTGTGAATAACTATAGTGACTCCATAAGCCAAGCCATCTGATGGCTTCATAGCAAAACTGATAACTTCAAAATTAGAAACTTTTTAATTTGTTATCAGTATTTTATAAACTAGTATGTGGCTCGTGCGATGCACGGGTAAATAATATTAAATAGGAATTGTAAATTGACGATATAGGTAAATAATATGTATTCGTTTAGGATTTTGAGTGCCATTTTGAGATTTTTTAAGATTTGAGACTTTTAAGATGGTCAAATTCTAGAGGAATACTATGAAATCTTAAGTGTGAATGTGAGATTTAGAGTGAAATTTTGTATAATGTTTTTTTCTTTTAAATCATAACTAATCTTAAAAAGACCTAACAAATCTTGATCTCAAATAAGTTAAATATTTAAGGATATTTTAAGATTTTTTTAATTTTTAAATATCAAAAATGAACCGCTTTTGTTACCAAAAAATGTGGACACAATTTTGAATGTACATCCCGTCTAAATATCAGTTTTATTCCAAAATAAAAATTGAACGTGGTTTTATCCAATTTACACACTTTTTTTTGAAAGAAAAAATTATTCAATAAGATTGAAAGAATAAGTTAAGAATTATACAACTATTTGTTTCCAAAATTTGTATCCAATTTGTACGGCTTTTAAGTTAATTTGTATTTAGAATTGTTTTCATAAATAATTGACACATTTTTGCATAAGAATCTCCAAATTTGTTACCAAAAAATATATGATTTAAATTTTGGTAAAAAAATAAAATATGATACGAAAAAAATGGGATTCAAATTTCGCCATAAGAATCTCTAAATTAGTTACCAAAAAATTAAAATTCAGATTTTGTTACTAAAGATTCACATGTATTTTTTTGAACTTTCCATTAATAGTAAGTCAAACATTATATTTATTTGGTCAAACTTTCTATTAATGTATTTTTCCAACAACCTCTTTATATAGATATAGATGATGTTTCAACTTTTGACGTCTGCAATTTGTCATTCATATTGTGTAGTAATACAAAAAATTTATATCCAGCTTCATAAAAAAATTAAATTATCTAATAAATAATAATAAGATAAATAATTTTTAATATTTATTACACAATTATCCATTAACTCTATTTTATCATGAGACTATGCTAACGAACAAGGCTTAGAAAGAGTTTATTTGAGCTTTAACTGCAGGCCCATTGCATGTCAAGGCCCAATTTATTTGTACGAAACACTGACCCGCCCTTTCCTAGCCAGATGCAACGCTCAAAAATCTCGAGAAAGACGATCATGCCTTTGGTGAAAAATATGACGTCACGTACATTTTTATTTTTTTTGTGTAATTTCTTTTGTTATTTGATTAAATGTGATTAAGAAATGAGATTTTTTAGGGGCCAAAGTTTTTTTTTAAAGATTCTTATTTAGTAATTATACGATGAAATTAACAAGTTATAGGATTTTGCGCAAATTGACAGATAGAAGCTGGGATAAAGATAATTTATAATGCTAGTATTTGTGTCAATTAGGGATAACCCATACCTTGGAGGTAATTTATCCTTTTGAAATGTATTTAGAGATGTAAACAATTTGAATAGAGTTCGAGTGTATGATACTCGAGCTCGAGATGTTAATTAGCGGCGCCAAGCCTGTTAACAAAATGAGACGATAAAAAATATTGAGATCGACTCGTTTATTAATATCAAAAATTAGATCTCGACTTACCGAGTTATAGAAAATTATTCAAAATTCACATTTTTGAGTTTGAAACTTGAACTCGACTCATCAGACAAACCAGCCGAGTCGAGCTGAGTTAAACTCTGGGAGACTTGTTTTGGAGAAGTGTTTTGCATATGTAAATTATAATGTGAATAGGTTCCGTTCTTGGGCTGAAGTTCATCTCATGTATCTTTGTGAATAATATTTTCCTTTTGGCCCAAAACTAGCCCATATGTATTGACTCCGTCACGGCCTGGTTCGCCTACTCATGGGCCATTGATCCTTTCCACTTTATGTATGATTTTATTTTTATTTTTTTTTAAACAAAGTGCAGTTCATATAATTTCTTAATAATGCAAGTAGGATTTTTTATATTTTAGCAGTGTCTTTAATCATAGGGACTATTGAGTCGCTGTCTACTTTTGGACAATAGGTTTTTAATACTCAGATGTCTATTTAGAATCTATATGCTAGATAAGATGAGATCATTTTTTTTTTTTTTGTTTTGGTACAAAGATAAGATAAGATCATGATTAGTCATGCATGATGCATGCAAACAAAGTTTGTGTAGTTAGTCATGATTAATAAACCTCCAGTGTAATTAAATAATTGGCCCATGTTTCATGACTACAGATCTAATTTAGTCTAATAAATCTAATAAATATTTCTTAACCAAAAAATTACCGAGTTCCCCAAAAGTCAAATCAAAACCCGGGAAAAAAACGGGTAATCAAGGCATTAATGTCCATTCAGGCAAATATATATAACGTTAGGTAATTATAATATTTTAATATATATATATATAAATACTTTTAAAATAAAATAAAATATCATACTCTACAAAAACAATATAAACAAAACTATAACATTTCATATAGTACATAAACGTTTTTACTAAGTCAATAGTCGAATATTTGTTAAACAAACGTACCAATTTAAACACATTTATATAAATTAATTATTTTTTTCTCCATCAATTAAGATAAACAACCTTATTTGATCCGGTCTCTGCTTCATTCGGTGCGATGGTAATCACGGTATGGAGATAAACTAATTTACGAGAACCCCTTAGCTCAATAATGTTAGTTTTCCGTATGAAATAAGTTTAAGGTCGTGTATATCACTCGCTTATATAAATTTATCTAATAAACAATTAGATTAATTAAAGTAAGGGAAAAAACACTTTTATTTCCAGCTCAGAACAACAAAGGTCGTACAACGTTGCTTAGATGAAATTTGCTGGCACTTGAAACGAAAAAGTACATTAATCAAAACATCACAAAGTCGACGAATATTATTCAAACCAAATCAAATTAAACCAAACCAAACCCGACCCGAACACCACCTCTCAACCCGACCTAGGCGGCGAGGGTATAATCTTGATACCACCAATGGTCACACTCTCACCGTTGGATCTGGGCACCAACGTCACCACCACCGTGTCATCATCGTCCACGTCAATATCCTCGTAAAGCTCGGTCAGCCTCAACGTGATGTTCGACTTGCCCGACGCCGCCCGGTTCTTGTGTGGCACTTGCGCGAACGTCCCCGCGTACTCCGCCTTGTCCAGCTCGTCCGACCCGTCGTCCTCGTCGTTCACAAACACATCGAACTTCACGAACTTCGTCGAGTCCGTCTCGATCCCCTCGAGCACGAGCACCTCGTCCGCCTTCCCTTTCCTCGACTTGTGCACGAGCACCCTCGTCGTCTTCTTCAATTTGAGCGGGAATATCTCGTCGGCCTTCTCCGCGCCGGGCGAGATCTTCTGGATCTTCGCCCGGGCAGCCTTCTTCGACGGCCGGTAGTTGAGCCACGGGATGTCGACCTTCTCGTAGTCGTACCCCATTTTCCGGTGGTCGAGGCAGTCGGCCACCTTCACCCGAACGAGCCGCTTCTTCTCGTCGTAGAACAAGAACGACGCGTTTAGGTAGTCCGGGTCGGTTATCTCCTTGGGGACGTCGGTTTTTAGGGTTTTCCACGTGGCCCACATGCGGTCGACGTTCGCGTGGTGGGAATAGAAGAGCGTGTCCCGTCCGGCCGAGTAGAAGTTGCCCATGTCCTCGCCGTATTTGTTCCGCGCGAAGTCGCCGACCCAAACGTGGGCGGCCACGTGGGACCCGCGCTCGGACGAGCCCATCCCGGCCCCACCGTGGGGTTGGTCGCCGGCATGGTAAGGCTGGCCCATGAAGTCGAGCGTGGAGTTCACGCTCCGGACCATCTCGCCGTACATGACGGTCAAGTTGTTGACGACTTTTTGTAGGTCGTCGGATACTCCGGTCAACCCTAGGTCAATGATGGCGGGCGGGCGGTTTGACTGGTTACGGTTCGAGTCGTATAGCGGGGAATTTGGGTTGTCGAACGCCAAGGGCATCTGCATTCCCTTAGGGTTGTCCCAATTCCAGAAGGGGAGGGCGAACGTGGGGTCGTCGATCATCTCGCCGAGAATGCGCTCGTAGAAATAGAGGTACCATCGGTGGAAGGGGAAGAAGAGCCAAGAGTTGTGGACTTGGATGTCGAGGTTCGGATGGCCCGGTTGGTCGTGGGCCCCGTTGCAGTAGGCGCAGTGGATGTTGGCTTGTTGGGTGAAGCCGCGAGGGTCGGAGGGGTCAGAGCGGTCGAGGGCTTTCATGCGGCGAACGGCCTCTTCGAATTTGGCGAGGTAGTCTTTGGTGAGCCTGTGGGCTGGGGGGCGAACGCGGAGGAGGTGCGGTTTGTGACGGGGGAGAGTGTAGTCGATAATGGTGTCGGAAATGGGAGGGCAGCAGTTGACGTCGAGGAGGTCGCCCGATTGGACGTCGTGGGCCAGGCCGCAAGCCGAGAACTCGGGGGCTTGGATAGGGTCGGCGCGGGCGTGGAGGCCGCCGGCGGCAGCGGCGGCGGCAGACATGCCACCACCGAGGCCGCGAAGGAGAATGTTGCGGCGATTGGGGTTGGCGGGTGGGGGATTGTCGTGGTGGTTGTTGTCGTCGGTTTTGCATGAGACGTGGAGGTTGTGGTGGCGGTGGTGGGGGAGGCGTGGTGGTGGTCGGGAGAGGAAGTGGGAGGGTTTGGTGGGGAGGAGGCGGCGGGCGGTGGTCGTGGTGGTGGTGGGGAGGATGGCCGGAGAAGGGGAGTGAAGGGAAGACATGGTTTTGGTTTGAGTGAATGTGGCAAAAGAGATGAATTGTGGGGGTTATTATATAGGGGATTTTTGTTACACCTACAAATTTTAGTGTATTTTGACTGTTTTGTTATGATTAATAATATTCTTCGATTGGTGATTATTAATGTGAAAGTTGTCTTTTAGATCTTGCTTTTGCTATTCTATCAATAGTAAAAACATAGTGGCCAATATAATACATCAACATCTATCATGATTAGTTTATCACATATTATTGGTAGTTGAAAAATTCTAGTTTTATTTAAGTTGACAATTTTAACATTACTCTCCAATTAAGGAGTGTAAATGAGCCAGCTCAAATTGAGGATACTCGACCTCGAATTCTTAAAGAGCCAAGAATGTCTTAACTAAATGAAAAAGTAATTGAGATAAATCATAGACTCATTTATCAATATTAATAAATATTAATAAGTTGCGTTCGAATTTTAACGAGCAACACTCAATCCTTAATGAGATGAAATATTAAAAGTTATATAAAAAATACTCTTTTTGAACCTTATCGAGCTCAGCCCCATCCATTAACTAAACGAGTTTGAGTTGATAAATGAGTCGAGCTCTGCTCGAGCCTTAAGGAGTGGAACTCAGAAACGACTGGTTTCGTCTAAACTTCCGTTTCAAGTCCCGAATTTATAGATTTTCTATCAACTTCAATGTAAAACGTGATTATGGAACATTGTGCTTATAATATAATAGTAATATTAATGACAATAACAACGATAATAGTAGTAGTAATAGTAATTAGAAGTAAAATAAACCACACTTAATTAGTCAAGTACTCTCAGTTACATTCTTTTGAGACGAGCAAACAGTATAATTAAGATAAGCAACGTAACTTTGTATATTACTATCACTTTAGACTTTAGTTTTGCACTCCCCAAGTAAAGAAAGATATATTATACGAAAGCATATGCAAAGCATGTTTAGTTATTATTAACCACTAACAAATTTTAATCTGGTTGGCTTAAATGATAATGATATAGATCAACCTGACACGCCATTCCACTTAGGCTTAAGCCATTCACCTACCCTTCAAGAACATTTTTTAATCACAAATGCTGTACTAATGCCTTTCAATAATACGAATGGAAAAGGCTTCTTCACGTGATTATTATTTTAATTTAATTCTGTTAAATATAGTACATCTTTTAATATATTTTGAAGAAAAAGAAACCTCCATGTAGCTACAGTTTTGTTAGAATATAATAAAGCAATTTGAACTAAAAAAAAATTAACTAGAGTAAGGACAAAAGACCAGCTAAGGCAGGATGTGAAAATGATGACTCTCCAGTCTCCCCCTACTTTTGTTTTGTAATTTTATATGTATTATTATTTGTTTATTTTGTAACCAAAAATTTCTTATCTTTCGAATCATATGTTTATAATTGTACATGTCAGACTTTTAGAATTATAAAAAAATAGTTGGATAATTAATTTTCATTATGAATAGCTTTATTATTTTAATCAATTTATTTAAATATAATTCAATAAATTAATCATCATTTAATAATATTCGACAACAACATCCAAATTATATATAATTTTATCTTTTGATTTGTCAACTATATTACATATCCAAATTAAACGCTATACAGCGGTTTTAAGTATTTTTATAAATTTTGCATTATGTAGCACTCTATAAAATGCTTTTTAAAATATTGGTTCCAACTAATTCTTTCTTAGATTTGGGAACCACATAATTTATCTAACATAAAGATAGGATAAATCTGATTAGGGTAAGATAAGAATTCATTGTACACTACTAAACACTTTCATATGCATACTGTAAACACATAAGTAACGGATTGAAATTTTGTGATCTTTCAATTTTGTGATTTAAGATAAATATTTCGTAATGGAACCGAGCGTGACTCTAAGAAATAAAAATAAAATAAAAGTCAATCTCGAGAAATAAAAATAAAATAAAAGTCAGTAACTTATAAATTATTAAATTAGTCTAAAGCCCACATGGACGGCTTGTAAAAGGGCCATAATTTACGCTAGCACGACTTTAAATAACTTAAAGATGGGCCCCGATTAATTGTTTTATACTTTCATGAGTTCGTTAAGATTTTTTATTTTTTATTTTTCCTAACCAGTTGAAATAAAATAATTAATCTTCTAATCTAACCAGCTAAATGAGTGCGTGAATGGGGAGTCCACTCTCCTGCTCACGAGTTTATATAAGAGTGATTTAAAGATTATTAAGGGATATTAACACTGATAAATACATCTTAATATACCATGGTGAATAAGTGAGCGCTTCTGGGTAAATTATATAGTTGGAAAGTGGAAAATTGTGAACTTAACACTATAAATTAGCTAAGATAAGTCTTCTCTAAGGTCGGTTTAACCATTGGAAAATATACTTCTTTTTTTTTATAAATATCTACATTATTATTAAAAAATATACTTTAATAAACAACATAAATAGATAATGTAAGTAAATTTATATTTAAAAGTATGACGAATCATCTACTTTACTTTAATGTTGATTTTTATATAAAATTAAAAGAGTGAAATATTTCACCTAACCGACAAGAAGGGGGTAGGTGACNTTTAGTTTTCTTTCACTGATTTCAATTTAAGTAAGGTTTCAATATATGATAATATCCATCTAATTCTATATTTTAGAGTGAAATTCTATATTAATTCCAGCATTAGTGTACATTCTCAAATTTATTAAATTCCATTAGACTTTCAGTTTCAGCAATGTGAATTAAATTAACAATATTTCATTTTTACTTCAGTGACATAATGAAAACCGAAACTTTTTAAGCCAGATGCATCCACATGTAAGTTTTAAGTACAACATAATATTAATCATAATTGATGTTAGACACCATGATTTTGAAGAATTAATCTATTTTGCCAAATTGATTTACCAATTGACTTACTAAGTTAAGATTGATATACCGACTTGTTTACTGAGTTAGATATTGGCGGATAGTTAACTTTGATAATATTATAATGAAAACAAATAATGAATTATCGTCATTTGTATTTTCGATAACCCAATCTATGAACCATTATGGTAACATAGCATGACTCGATTTCGAATATCCCAACAAATGTGTAGGTCATGTTTAGACAAAATACACCATGTTAAGCTCAATTTAGTTTTTTCATTTTCAAGATTGGGCCTCATATTATGGACCCTCACATTCTGCTACACATTATTGGGCCTCAGATTTAGGCCTCATTACTTCAATGGAAAGGCAGCAAAACATACAATTTTCAGCCCAGTGGCTTCAATACTGGAGCTACTTCAAATATAGATCGCAAAAAATCTCAAACTAACAAGGTAATGACATTGACCTATAAACAAACCGAACTCAGAGCTCCTGATATTCAAGCGCGGGCTCGAACCATTAAACTAATGAGCTGATAAATGTGTTAGCTCAGCTCAGGTGCTAACGAGTCAAATTATGTTAAAAAAATTCAGAAATTATGTAAAACCCTCAATTTTTCAAGCCTAACGAAACTTAAGTTCGACTCGTTAACTAAACAAGCTTTAAACGAGTTGGCCCTGTTTAACAGCAAACGAGCGACTCGGTTTCATTTAACGGCTCTATGTAATGGGCACAATATAGTCATTTGGATCACATAGAGGGAGGGAAGAGAGAGGTTCTTTTGTGCAAAAATGGAGTTCACTTTGCCAACACATTCTAAGGTATCAAAACTATCAAAAGTCACTACATTTATATACAGGCTTTCATGCACTTACAAATTATAATAATACCACCTGTAGCCCTAAGACATGTTCTAAAACGAAAGGCCGTCGAACAATTTTGCGCGATTATCTGCACGCCATTTGAGGCCTCAAACTGCCGAACACAAACAAACATCGTGATTCCAGAGAATGGATTTTCTGTATTCTACGTATAAAAAAGAAACTAATTCTCCATGTTCGAAATCATCCACGCAAAGCCAATGAGGGCTGGCCATAAAAAGATAAAATCCCGTCATGCATAGATACACAATAGTAACTGTGCACCGTCTCCCGTCAGAAAAATACCTAGAAAGTTTACGAATGCATTAGCAAACAACATTTAAGGACCGAATTCTGTTTTTGGTTTCAAAGGTAAGAGATTATTTTTATGTGCTTCTCGTGTTCTGTTTTTGGTTTCTTTTGCCTTTCCCTTTCACTTCTGCCAACTCCAAAAAAGGTATTACCCTTAGCTTCAGCCTAACTACAAATACTCAACACGGCAAATTTGCATTTTTAGTCATACGGGTTTGACGCGATAGCAATTTTATTCTCAAGGTTCCAGCATTTCGCTTTTTGGTTCTGTGATTTAGTATTTTGCTGCAATTTCAGTAAGTTTCAGTAATGACTGAAACTGCAACAAATTTCCAAATTTTCAGATTTCGATTAGCAATTTAAATCCTGTAATTTAAAATTTTGTTGCAATTTCAGTCCTCACAGGACCAAAAGACGAAAAGTTGAAATCTTGGAACTAAAATTGCTATGACGGTAAATCAACAGGACTAAAAATGCATTTTCACCCACTCAACGCTAACTTTCATTTTAAGGGAAGCAAAGATTCTAACCGAACCTCATCTGAAGAAAAGCTACTGCCAAGCAACGCCAGGTGGAGTGTTCCTCGCTCGGGTGTCCAGCGAGACAGCCATTGCCAGCATCATCTGCTCCTCGAAGCTCTCGGGCCTAATCGGGCCTCCAACGGGCCTGGGCCCACATTGGCTCTCGTCATGTGGTCCGCTGCCAACAGCTGTGTCAAACTCGTCCGAGCCCCTGTAGCTCGTGCCCGCCTCAGCCATCTCCGACCGGCTGCGGCCCAGCCAGTCCACGTCATCCTCGTCGTCCCCAGCGGCCATAGCCAGCTGGCGGCCTGGCGACACTACAATGCCGCTTTCGGTCGGGTAGTAGTCCTCCGATTCTCGGCCATATGAGGCGTAGTTTTCGGGGGTCTCGGGGTTTGACTGCTGGCGCTCGGCGAGTGCTGCTATTGCGCATGCTAGGCCACCGGAAGGCGAGGGGCTGCGATCGTCCGCTATGCATTGTTCGGTTTGGGATTCGTCGCTGTAGGGTGGATGATCCTGGCGCCTCCCATTTTCCTGTATCACGGTTGCAATACAAAGAAAAGAGAGAGAGAGAGAGAGAGAGAGAGAGAGAGAGAAATAAATAAATAAAATCAAGAAAGTGGTGCTGTAGAAATTCAGAATTTCTAATTAAAATGGTAATATTTTGGCTGAAGAAATGTAAGTATACCTGAATAGAAAGCCAAATGGCTTCCATTACCATAATGTCCTCAAGATCAAGGTCAAACTCGTCCTCCCTGAATCAAATTTTTTTTATGTAAGAAATATTTTTTTTTTATGTACACAGATATATCAGTGTGAATGATTGTTCATCAACAAGTATGTGTGATTGAGGGAGGGAGAGAGAGAGAGAGAGAGAGATGAACAAGAACTGTGGCCTTAATCATCAGAAATGCTCAGCCATTGCCCAATTTCCAATTAATAAACTAAAGAAAGATGACTTGAAAATATGAAGAATAACGAGGTTACATATCAAAATATTCATGATATATATGAATGAAAAAAGAAGTACATCAAGAAAATCGAACTTGACAATATAGGCAATAGAGATAAAATCTTAGGGTGTGCTTGGATAGAACGGGTTTTTTTGGTTAATCGGAGTTAATTTTGAACAAATGCGGATAAAATAATTAAAGTTGATTTGATGTAAAAATAGGAGAGGTGATGTGAAGTGATGATAAGTTAAAATTATGTGAGTTGATGAATATTAAAGTTGATGTGATGTGTAAGAATGATTGACTGATATTATTTAATTATATTGATGATATTGAGAATAGTGGGATTGAGTTAGAATTTGAGTATCGATTGAGTATGAGAGTGAGATAATCTGTAAAGAAACACACCCTTAATAATCGAAACTCCCACAAGAAAATCTAATAAGAAAATCTGGTGACTGACAAAAGGACTACTAAGAAATCCCTAATTTAATTATTGTATTTGCTGTCTAATCTGATTTCTTATGTAGCTTTTCCTATTTTACTGTGTGATATGTCATTTGCTTGCATACACCTTCAACCAGCAAAACGTGAGTCCAAACCTTTGCTAGACTTTATCATTCTATCTACAGAATTGACCTTAATAACATCTCAGAAGCTCAATTAACATTTTTTAGCCAAATATTTAACCTCATAACAAAAAAATCAGATTAGCATTTCATAAGTTACGTAGATCAGAGGTAGGAGCTTATGAGACTCTTCAAATAAGCTAACATTAAATACATTCTGAATCTCGAGTAGAAATATTAATTGAAAATCGATAATGAGATTGGTTTCACAATAAACCACACTGAAAACGGAAAAAATATAAAAATAAAACAAAAACTTGATACCTATTTTGCCTTCGGCGTGGAGATGGCCTAATTGCCATGCCCTCATGGGAAGCAACAATTTCTTCACTCTCAATTGCAGATGCAAAAGATGGTGCTGTGTATAAAAACAAGTAATAAGTAAACTACCAAACGGAAAATAACAACAACAACAACAACTACATACCCAATATATTCCCAACAGGTTGGAGTCTGGGGGGTCAGTTGTACGCAGACCTTACCCTTGTAATTATACGAAAAATAAATAAATAAAAAATGTTTTATGTACTTAAATCATTTACCTAGAGTCGAGCAATGGTCAACCTCGGTTGGTCCTATCATACTGCTAGAAGACCTGAGTTCTCTTTGTTTAAGCATTCTTTCCTCTTCATCTTGAATTTCTTGTTGTCTCATCCTTATTTTGGCTTCTATAACTCGTTGTTCTTCCTACACGTGTAAGTTAAAGAAAAAATGTTTTTAACAATGAAGCTATCACTACAGATAATCTGAAGAAATAAATTTAAAAAAATCAATCTCACAAGTTGCTCCTGGCCTTTCTCCTCCTTCGTCTTGACACCTCGATACTCAACAGCATAATTTGATGTTTTGCAGAAAGGACATCTTTTCTTAGAGTTAAGATAAACAGAAGAAGTAGTATAATGCTGACAATATATAATCCAATGCAAACTATGCAGCTAAAAAAAAAAATGGTATATATACTGAAACCATCATTTGGATAATTGAAAGGGGTAAAAACTAAAAACAAGAAAAACATCGTAACAAAATTAAAAAATATCGAGGATACTGAGTAGGTCTGGTGGAATTGGGAGTCTTCATCTGCAAAAAACACTCTGAAAGGGGAAATATTTCAATAGACTCAGAAACAAAATGTAAAATAGTAATGTAAAATTTAAGAAATAGAAGAGAAAACTCTTTACCAGTACAAATGCCTTTCAAGCAACATCTTGACCGATTCAGACTCGGATAATACTGAAACCATCAAAGCAAAGGAAAACACTGAACGCAAAGTTTATGCAAAATGGGATAATAAAACAGAATTCATTTATGCTCTGCAAACAATGGTCATAAAGAACGAACAGGTGTTCTGTAAATCCTACTCCTACCGGGAAGTTCTTGTTATAGTTCCAAAAAATGGATGCACAAACTGAAGCATCATATAGAGCACCATCAAAACAAAGATATACTCCACTAAGAGCTCTAAATTATTACCAAGTTACAACAAAAAAAGTTGCACAAAAATTTCTAATCAAGCTTTGGTAGACAACCAATGCAAATTCCTAGAAAACAATTAACAGGTAGGAAAAACCTCACTTACACCCACCAACATTTTTTGTAAAACTTCAATGGCATTACTCCATATTCAGAAATGAACATAATAAAAACACCAAAATATCAATGCGAGTTCTTGAAACAATCTTTCCCCATACGAAGCTAGTTCCTTTAAGTTCAATCTAATTTACTAGTATAACACCTACAAAGGGGGCCATTCCAATTTCCGTGAATTTTCAATTAAAAGAGCTTGAAAACCCGAAAAAACCGGATTAAAAGAATAAATGAGTACAAACCAAGAAGCAAATGGGACACTCCTCGAGTTCGCATCCACAGTCATCATCACCGGGGTAACAAGGGGCCAGCTTTGAGTCGAGAATCAACTTCCTGAGCTTCTTGTGATCCACATCTTTGTGTTGGTACAACCCCTGAGGCCTAGTGTACTTCTCATCCACCACCTGCCTCCTCCTCCCCAATTTATTCCCCATACAAATAAAATTAACACCCTCTGATTTTTATCTTTAGGTAAAATCCCAATAATTCACAATTGAAATGAGATTCCACAACAAAATGGGTAAGAACCCCCGCTAGAGAAACACTGAAACATCCTGCAAAACAAAGAAAAGAGAACCATAACATACCAAGAAAAATGAAAGTAAGCATAAAAACAGCAGTTATCTGAGAAATAAGAGTGGCCCATTAACTGAGTCACTGAAAACAGAACCCCAACAAAACAAAGAAGAAAAAGGGAATTGGGATAACCTGGAAAAATGCAATCTTGGACCGATAAAAAAATAAAAAGCTTTAAACATACAGAGTGGAATACATACAACTGCAGGTGCCCATTAACTGAGAAACTGAAAACAGAAACCCCACAAACAAATAGCAAAAAGGGAGCATTAGGATAACCTGGAAAATTGCAATCTTGGAACGAGAAAATAAAGGCTCTAAACACACAGACGAATACATACAACTGCAGGTTTGCTGTATCTATATGTGGAGAGAAGACAAAGGGAAAAAGAGAAGAGATTGGAAAAAAGATCAGAACTTTCTCTGTGGATATGTGTGTTTTCTTTTCTCTTTGCGTGTGTGAATCGATATATGCGTAGCTTGTGTCTTGTATCTATTGATTTACTAGATTCGGGTTTTCCCTTTTCTCTTCCAGAAAGAAAACAATGAAGAAAGGAATTTAAAACATTGTAGCTGAACAGAGACACAGCTTAATTGATTGATTGTTTTCATTACCTGCTTTTGTTTTGTTATAATTTGGATCTTTGCTTGTCCGTTCTTCAGCTTCAGACCAAAAAACGTTTCGTTGAACGAAAAAGAAATATTTTATTGCTATCTTTTTCCCATTTTCTCCCCGACAAAAGAAGCAAGGTTCAATTTTTATATACTTTTTCTTCTCAATACAAAAAAAGAAAACAAATAAATAAAAATCTATATCTATATCTATATCTATATATATATAAAGAGATTGTTTGAAAAATATATTAATAGAAAGTTTGATCAAATAAATATAATATTTGACTTACTATTAATGGAAAGTTAAAAAAACATAAGTGAATATTTAGTAAAAAATCTAAATCCTATTTTTTTTTTTTTGTAACAAATTTAGAGATTAAATCTCATTTTTTTCGTATCATATTTTATTTTTTTACCAAAATTTAAATTATATTTTTTTTGGTAACAAATTTAGAGATTCTTATGCAAAAAATATGTCAATTATTTATGAAAATAATTCTAAATACAAATTAATTTAAAAACCGTGCAAACTGGATACAAATTTAGGAAGCAAATAGTTGTATAATTCTTAACCAATTCTTCCAATCTTATTGAATAATTTTTTCTTTCAAAAAAATTGTGTAAATTGGATAAAGCCGTGCAATTTTATTTTAAAACAAAACTGATATTTGGACGGGATGTACATTCAAAATTGTGTCCACATTCTTTGGTAACAAAAGCGGTTCATCATTGATACTTAAAGTCACCTTATTCAATTATTTAGGAAAAATTGTGTGCAACTTTTCAAAATTTAAATGCATCAATTTTTTTGGATTCTTATATTTTTTCTTAACCATGTTTTACCGAGTTTTTGGTAAGTTCATATCATTTTTTATTTTTTATTTTTGTTAAGTTCATATCATTTTCTTTAGAAAAGATACAGTTGCATAAACATCAACAATTTATTTCAATTTTTTATTAGAATTATTTTCAATTCAATTTGTTTGGTACAAAAATCGGTGCAATGTTAGGAAAATTCGGTTGTATTTTTAGGAAAAATTGATAATTCTTTTATTTGGTTTAAAAAAAAATCGGATCAATTTGTTTGATAAAAAAATCGGTTTATTGGTAGAAAAATCGGTTTCATTTCTAAGAGTAACTAATGATTCTTTTCAATTTTTCTTAATCGAAATTTAGAATTAGATTTAAAATAAGTAATAGGTGAAAATCCCTAAAAAATTCTACTTTAATTTTGTTTAATAAATAAGATCCTTTAATTTTTTTAAAATTTGTTAAGTAATAAATAATAATATACAATTTTGGATAAATTCGAACACCTATGTAGTACTTTACGTGCCAAAGAATCAAATCAATAATGTTGTACATAAGGAAGTGTTTAATAACATATAAATTTTTTTTTCATGAAATTTTTAATGGCATGAGACAATTTAAATATAATAATATATTTTAAAAAATAAATAGATAATAAATGCTCTCGTGCATCGCATGGGTACCGTACTAAGAAGAAGTAATTCCAATTTCCAAGTGCGCGTTTGGTGACATCAAAATTAATTTATACGCTATTTAATTAACTTATTATCTTCCTTCTATTCACATAAATATTTGATTTTTTTAAATAAATTTATCTTTAAGGCTTTCTAGCTAGCTTTTCAAGAAATGAATTGTTTTTATAATTCTACTAATTGAAAACTTAATTTTGTAAAATATATATTAGTTCGTTTTTCAACAATGTTGGAAACTCACTTGTCCAACAAGTAAATTTATCAATTATCAATTATCTTTTTCAGCTATATTTAAGAACCATATAATCCATAAGATATAATATAAATCATTAACCCTTATCCCAAAATTTATCAAGAATTGGTTAATGCAATAAAACACTATGAATATTTTACAGATGAGGCCTACTTGTCCCTTACCTTACACCCAAGGAAACATTTTGGGTCATTTATTAATTATTAAGAATCTCTGTTATCCTTTTGCATTTATAAATTAGTTATTGATTAATGTGAACAATGGAACGATTAAGAAGCAAAGGGGTAGAGTGGGAGACCCGGAAAGAATCGAGGGCTAAAAATAAATAAATGAAAAAGAGGAAGCAAGATGGCAAATTAGATGGCTTTCTTTCTTTTTATCTAAATTTTTCTACTTTATCTTGTTCTTTTTTCAATTTCTCGATATAACCCCGTTTATTAACTCATTTTTGGAATATTTTTGGCAAGGCACAAATATAAAATTGGGGTGTGAAAATAGTGTATAATCATAATCACCCATCGCTTAGTACTTACTAGTGTGTATCACGTGCGATTCACGGAAACAATATTAAATCTACAATATTATAAATAGACCTCGAGTTTGAGTTACTAAGTGGAAACTACTATTGATTCTCTTTAAAAAGAAGAAGAAAAAAATAATTATAAATTAAAGAAGAGGATAAACAATACTTAATAATTATAAATTAAAGATTCGAGGTCAAACAATGTAAAATTATTTTGTATAAGAGAAAATAAAATTTGCATTATTTTGTATAAGAGAATATAAATTTGGACCTTTAATACTAAAACACCTAAAATGTTATATTGGTATATGTAAAAGTATTCAAAATTTTCTATATTATTTTTGCAAGATGTGAAGTCACCTACAACTTTTCTAAACAATTTTAGAAGGAAAATATATTTAAAAACATCAGAATTTAATATTGTGTAAAAAAAAATTTCTAGACTGTTTTGTAGAGAAAACATGTCTACAAATATTTAAATTTAACATCAATGATGTATATGTGTGTATATATATATATGTATATATAGACGAATATGTAAAAAAAATGTCTAAACAATGTGTTTAAAATATCTAAAATATTATAAGACTAATTTAATAAAGACATTCAGATGATACCGAATTTATGGTGTTACTTCCATCTAACAAAATTTGATTACACACAATTTCGAAATTATTATTGTACATTTTACGTTGTTTTCGAGGATGTATTGTTAGTTTATAATATTTGTAAAAATATTAGTAATTAGATCGATGAAAATTAGCAGCGCTCGAGGATGCATTGTAGTTTATAATATTTGTAAAAATATTAGTAATTAGACCGATGAAAATTAGCAGCGCTCGATATGGGTTCGTATTTTTTTTTTAAATAAGGGATGAGATTTTGAGTACCATAAAAACAGGTAAAAAAAATACAAATATTTACTGCCACCGGCAATTTTGAGTACAAAAAGATAGGAAAAAGAAAAATAGATATATACTGTCACCGGCGGACGGTTTTGAGTACCAAAAAAAGGAAAAAGAAAAACAGATATACACTGTCACCGGCGGTTTTTGAGTACAAAAAGAAAAACAGAAATATACACCGCCGATTTTTTTTTACCAACAATTACTATATAAGATACATTTAATGATATTGGCGGGAAAAACTTGCTAAATTTATAAAAAGGTTATTCTTTTTATATAATGATAGATATCTGAAGAAGAAAAAGTCAACGAGTTAATGATTGAGCTTCAATATAATATGCAATTTATCTTGTTTATTTAAAATTTTATCTATAACTCTAAAATGACCCTAACTTTAAAATTTAGGTAATCAATTTTATTCATATAGTTCTATCCATACACTGTTTTTCTCACATTAATAGGGAGATCTATATCTATATTATTTAGATATTCATATATTATTACCCAACTTCTAAGGGCGTGCTTGTATACAAATATATCCGTTTAAAATAGATTTTTTTGATTAATTAGGGTTAATTTTAAAAAAAATGCGGTATAGTAAATTGTTAGCAGAATTTTAAATTTATAGTAAAATAATATTTAAAATAAATTAATTAAAATTGGTTTGATGTCAAAATAGGAGATAGATGTTGTGAAGTGATTGTTAGTTAAAATTATGTGAGTGGATGAAAAATGAATTAATTGATGTGATATGTAAGAATAATTGATTGATATTATTTAATTATATTGTTAATATTAGAAATAGTGAGATTGAGTTAAAGTCGAGTTAAATTTTGAGTTGAATGAAATTTTACATGAAAATTTCGGGGGAGTTCTGGGTTCTGGGTTCAAGCTCAGTGATGGGCCGGGACGGGCCGGGTTCAGACTCGGCCCGCCAAGTGACCATCTCTACTTTTTTTTTTTTTTGGNAAGAAGAAGGTCGAGCCTAATCACTTGAATTACATACACTAGTACGCCACCCGCGCGTTGCGCGGTCTAATATTAAAAATGGTGTGAATGAATGGCAATTTAATAGAAAAATATTTTTTAAAAATTTATTCAGGAAATGTAGAATAAATTTTTTATTAATCCATTTAAAAATACTTCCACAAATACAACATTAATAGTAGATGAACTGTGTTTGTTATCACTAATAGTAATAACAATAATTAGACGACATAGATCGTGACTCTAGAAACAATAACAATTAACAAAAAAAAAATAATATAAAATCCAAGATATATTTTTTTTTTCAAAATTTTTAAAATTTAATTTTTAAGCTTACAAAACTATGTGATGTACCATGGAAAAAAATATTGGTCACATTAATGACACTTCTTCAAAATTTTTCATAAAAATGTATATGTGATAACATAATTTTCATAGTTCAAAAAAGAAAATAAAGTCATGATTACTATTGTACAAATAAACTAATATTAAATAATTAATGTTAACATGTAAGAAGATGAGAAAATTAAAATTTATAAATACAAATTAAATATTTAATAAAAAATAAAAATGACTTCTATCTACATGTATTTAATTTTAAATTAAGTCTACATATTTTTTTACTTTTTATTAACAAAATAAATCTCAACATTTCGTTCTTTTACAAAATAAATGCGATGGTGATTAGAGAATGACATGAAAAATTGATCATTTTTCATAAAGTTATAAATAGACTCAGTAACTCAATATTAGAATATTTATTTTTTGCCTGAAATTTATGAGAATTGTAATTCAATGTAATATTAAAATACTTATTTGTGAATGAAACCAATGAAAATTATAATTCAATATAATTATAATAAAACACTT